TCCCATATGCATGTAGGCTGCAGCTTGCTTCTGTCTGGCTATAACATTCTTCCACTTCCCAAGTGATCACGTTCAAAGCAAAATGCCAAAGCAACACTCCTTTATTTCTTATCATTTTTATAACCATTTTGGTATCCCACAACATTTTCACTATGCTCTTTTAACCATACTATTTTAATTATAGCCTCTCCATTAATTTTTCTCACTCCTCCAATTAAACTTTTAGCATATAAAGTATTGTCAAAAAGTAAAATTATTATGAATTTTGGGCAAAATATTGGGGTAGATGATGTTCCAGACCTTGATGAATTCCTGGAGAAGTATGATCCTCTTCAGGAACAATTGACAAGAAGGGCTGTTATGAGTATACTCTCAGAAATGGTTGTAAGGATTTTTCTTGGCATTACTCAATAATGGATTGGTTTTGGGAACCAAGAAAGCAAAAATTATATTTGAACTTTCTAGAGGATGTGAAAAGCTATGTTAATTATTTTATGCCTTAAATTTTGTTTCTACTTTTAGTTATTATAAAGGAAGAATTGATTTTATCATCTTTTATTAGCTAAGCTGCTATTAACTCTCTCTTTGACATGCCTAGTCTATTGTAAAGTTGTTGAGCTTGCTATCCACAAGAACACTGGCACACACTCAGACAACTTTGTGTTTCAGAACCAAAAATGTTGACAGAAAAGAGAAACAAAGTTTATAATTCTTTAAAACCACCTTTTCATATTATATATGTTATAGCCTCTTCTCTCTTTCCCAAAATAATAAAAGATAACTAAATCTCCTCCAAAAATTCCACATATTCTTCTTTTTCAATAAATAAAAGTCGAAATAAATCTTAAAGCATAAAATATAATCAACAGAGGCATCGTTTACGACAGCCTCACCACCATACAGTGAAAGTGCTCCAGATCTGGAGTTACCTACGATCAGCTCATTCCTGGATTGCTGTGTCGACGAAGCCAGCATGGCTACACTCAGCGAGGATGAAGTGAAGCACCGTCTGGTTTTAAGACTTCGACCATAACTCGGCAGTCCTTCGCGGTACTACACCAGTGATACTCCCGCTTTGAGTTGGCCACGGACACAATGACTTCGTCTCTATATCTGGAGACAGTCAAGTGGGTTACCTTCCCAATTGCCAGAGCTGCCAAGCTTCCACAAGCCTTCAGTTCTGCCACGACAGTTAAACTTTCGGCGGTTGAGCATAGCCGTTGAAACAGCTCGTCCGGTTCGTCGAGCTGAGCATAGCCGGCAATCAAGATAGTCCACGATGTTGCTTCCGGGGTATTCGTTTAAAAACTTGACGAGGCTTCGACCCGACCTTTGCAGATCGACGAAGCTCTCTGTGTCCTTCTTCACTCCAAACACTGGAACTGGCCTTCCAACGCAGTATCAACCGTTTGAGCGTCCAGATGACCGCCTCGGTACTTCATGAGAGTAAGGCATCGTCAGTTGGTGCCGTTTAGAGCGAATCTAGACCACACTAATCCCACCGCTTAAACCTCTCGACCACTTGCTATGCTGGTAGCACCGTACTTTCACAAGCTCATAGTCAGATCGTCTTCCTCCTGTGCGTTTAGCACTTTAATCCTCCACTCGCTCTCTTTCTTCTCAGTCAGAGAATCGTCCACCACAACTGCCAGAGGATTCGTCACTTCGATCCGCCACCCGGGGTCCTGAAAGATCGCATTCCTGCGCTGTTTCCTTCGAGATAACATCCATCGCACTAGCAAAAAGCACGCAAGCAGCACCAAGATCGCAACCAAAACCCAGAGAAGAAGCTGGAGCAGCGACCACGGCGTCCTACGAGCCACTGTAACTACTGCCGCGGGTGTCGGTGTGGCCACTGCTGCGTTGTGACCGTGGCGACGGTGGTGGTGGTGGTGGTGGTGGTGGTGGCGTCCTCCATGATGGTGACCATGGTGATGGTGGTGAACAACCAGAGGAGCTCCATCACCGTGATGATGATGGCACACCGCTGCTGGTGGAGCTGGATCGTGGTGGCGAGCATGATCAAGGAGAGCAGGCGCTGGAGCTCGATCACCAGGGAGGTGGCCGCGAGCATGAACGAAAGCAGCTGGCGCTGGAGCCGGAGCTGGAACTGGAGCGCCACCTTGAAGACCTGGAGCTAAAGCTGGCGCTGGCTCGTGGCCTCCATGAGATGCTCGAGGATGGTGGTGTCCATGCGCTGCTCGATGCGCTGGATCTGGAGCTCGCGGGTGTGAAGCTCGATGATGGCCGCCATGCCGGGGCGCTCCAAGCGTTGGAGGCCCATGATCGCGAGAGACCATAGCTTCTTGATGGAGAGAAGCATCCATACCTGACGAAAGTGCGCGTTAGAAAAATCCAAGCGAGAAAGTATAACCTAACCTTGACTTGGAAAAAAATAGTAAAACTTTTGCCTTTGTGTGAAAAAGAAGGAACTGGTTTTTACGCTGTGGATTGCGCGGCGAGTTGGATCCTCCCCAAAGTCATTGTCGTCAATGGAAGCGTTCCGGTACTGCTGGTACTCGGTCACCAGATCGTTGAGATCTCTCCGCCTCAGAGAACTCGGTGTACCAGTGGAGAAACGCCTTGTGCCGGAACATGAGCATCAACCTATTTGTGAAACAATCGACTATTCAAGAAGAGTGGAAAGACAAAGTTTGTGTGAGGACATTCCTAGCTGTGCTTGAGCTTGTCCTTGAATTCCTGCTGGAACTTCTCCAAACACTCCAGCTCCATAGTCGAATTCCTCGAATCCGGAAAAGGAAGAGGGCGAGAAGCAGAAGCATTCAAGTTGGGAGAGTCTTCCATGAAATCAATGAGGTCTGAAAGCTCATCTGTCATGTTTCCAAGGAGAGAGTGGAGGTCTTGATCTTGTTTGACAGGTGCATATATTTCCGTGTGGAAATTGTCCTATGAGAAAGTTTCATACAAAGCCTAAAACAATTACCCAGTTGTGGCAAATGGTGCCATTGTAATACCCCTTGTGCAGTGACAAGAGGTACGTGGTCGTCCCTGATCTTGACGAGCTTACGGATCTCTCCCAGGTTTACAACCGATTCTTTGAGCTTGATTCCCATAAAAAAACTCGGCCATGATGCACGCCATCACCTACAAAAATCCAGCGCGGTGGCAGAGAAGCCGGTACTCCACGCTGCTCGGGATCGTGTTATTGATTTGGTGCTTGACCTCCTCCTAGACACTATCCAGATAGATTGAGAGGATCTTGCAGTAGCGAGAGAATGGGTATTTCTTTGTGGAGCTCCACCATGACTTCCACCAAGAGCAGCAGCACGAGGCGATGATGATCATGCTCCTCGGATGCTTTGTAGATTCCAGTGGTGACGATGTTCCAGATGATGGATTTGAGGGCGGCTTGACTCGACTTGACTTCCTGGCTGCTTGACTCGAGGATGTCATCCACCAGGAAGTACACCCACAAATACCTTCCTGCCAAGAGGACTCTCCCTTCACCCTTGGGATGCATCAAGCAAGTGTTTTTTTCTTCGCACTCTCATCAGTGATGCCGAACTTGGAGATGAACCATTCATTAAACTCTTGGCTCAGAAAAGAGAAATCCGGGTGGCAAGCAAAGGGGATGTTATTTGGAAGCAAAGTGAGGGACAACCTTTGCCACATTATACTTTAGGTTGTTCTGGTTCTCAAAGTTATAAGTTAGGATATGTGTCACAGAGGGGATGTTGTTTGGAAGCAAAGTGAGGGACAACCTTTGCCATGAGAGACTCCATTTAGGTTGTTCCGGTTCTCAAAGTAATAAATAATGTCACCCCAGGTAATGTATAGAAATTTTCTCCATTAGATCAACGTTCTTATCACCACGGCTTTGTGTCACACCATGGCCCGGAGATGAACGAACAAATTCGTTCACAAATTTCGCTGGACTAAGCTTCATGGACCTCTTGATTCCTTGAGTGCCTATATTTACTATCCTAGTAATTATAAAAAATTAATAATGAAATCTTTGAGTTACTAGTTACTAGTCAAAATCTACATTTAGCAAATTATGTTGTAAATTCTCATACTTCGTGAAGTATCTGAAGTATAAACAGTGAAGTAAGAAGGAAAAAACTATTTGTAAACCAAGGTACGTTCATGCCCACACCTCTAATGTATCTGAAGAAAATATTCCAAGAATATTTAGCTAGGTTTTGTATGAAATAGGACAATTTCCACACCGAAATATGACATCTACCTGCTGGAGTTTCATGGGTATGAACCACACTACGGATGTGGAGCACATTGGCTGCAAATTGAAGTGGGACATCACTAGCGTCTGCGGGTGCCTACGAGTCAGCGACTGTGTATACGTTGCACTCAAGTAGTGAAGATTAAATGGAACAGAGGGAGGTGAATAATGCATTGCATTCATGTAGTATTATAGTCCCATGTTAGTTGGCAGAAAAAATAAAAATAATGAGTGATGGACACTGCATAGGAGCTTGAGAGATATCGGAAACTCACTTTCATATGGTTTGGATGGCCAGCATTGCCGCAGGAATGCCATTGAAGCTGGTCACTTGGTAATACACCCTTGCCAAGGGCAAGCCCGCATCTTCGATGCCCGCCTCAAACCCAAGTAACTTTACAAAACTGTTTTGTATGTGATCATTCCTTTAGGTGGAGCAACTTCGGAAGCAATCCCGGTTGTGGTTTCTGGTAAAGAAAAAAAACGAAACATCTTTTGCAATCGAGAATTCATACAATTCTTCTTCAAGAGCATTACAAACGGCTGCTGGAGTGTTTGGAGCCATTCTTGAAAATTGAATGGTGTGTGTGTCTTCCTCTTCTTGTGGAGCTCAATTTGGTTTTCAAGACTCTTGTGTCGCAAGGAGAAGAACACAGCGGTTGTTTATCATTCCTGAGAAACCTGGTGAGCAAGCGTGATGGAACCGGACCAATCGTCATGCGCTCAAGGTAAAATCCATTTCTTTCTTTGGTTTTTAGGGTTCTTCAATGTCTTTTAACTGGAAAAAATATCGTCCAAAATGGCTGGAGGGCGTTGCGACGAGCGAGCGCTCGCAATGTATATGCGAATCCAAGAGGAGGGATCCATCCCCAGCATCGGCCTCCTCTTGGCGGCGCTCAAGGTGTGTAGAAGCACCAGAAATCTCGCCATGGGTCGCAAGCTCCACGCCCACGCCATGGCCACCGGTAATCACCACGCCTCCAACACCCTCCTCGCCAATCTCCTCATCGACATGTACTCCAAGTGCGGCGCCATCGCCGACGCTTGCCAGATCTTCCACTCCTTGGAATCTCCCGACCTCGTCTCGTGGACATCGATCATCCAGGCGCTCTCTCGCGCAGGGGAGTTCGCCTTGGCCTTGGATTCCTACGCTGGATTGCTGGCCGATTCGCGGTGCCCGCCCCCCGATCGACTGGCGCTACTCGCGGCGCTCAAGGCCGTGGCGGGATTGATCGATCGCGATGGCGCTGCAAGGTGCCTGGAGAAGGTGAGAGCGATCCATGACCGCGCGGCCAGGGTCGGGGTGGAGCTGGATGGATTCGTGGTTGCGGCGCTGGTGGATTCCTACGCCAAGACCGGGAGCTTCCCGGGCGCGCTACACGTCTTGTGGAGCGCGCGGGAGATCCACGTCGTGTGCTGGACGTCGATCGTCCTGGGCGCTATCAATGCGGGCAATTCGAGGCTGGCGCTGGAGCTCTTCGAGAGGATGCGCGACGAGGGATGCCAGCCCGATTCCACCGCGCTCCTCGCGGCGATCAAGGCCTGCGCAAATCTGGCCGGCGAGGGAAGAGGAGGAAATCAAGATCGAGAGATTGGGATTCTTCGCAAGGGACGAGCTTTCCACTCGATGGCGCTGGCCGCGAATTTGGTCGACCTCGCCCCTGCCAACACGCTGATCGACATGTACGCCAAGTGTGGCAGCCTCCGCGAGGCGATCCAGGTCTTCGAATCGATCCGGCCGGACAGGAGGAGCATCGTGTCGTGGAATTGCCTCATCCAGGGAGCCCACAACGACGACCCCAAGCTCGCGCTAAATCTCTACTCGCGCTTGCGCGATTCTTCCTCCTGCGCGCCCAATCGAATCACCCACATCGCCGCGTTGAGAGCCTGCGCGAGTTTGGGCGATCTCGATTCCGGGCGAGAGCTGGAAGCCCGGATAAACCCTAAATGCTTTCTTCCCAGCAATGGCGATGATCCCCTCTCTCTCTCCAACGCGCTGGTGGATTTCTATGGCAAATGCGCGAGCATGGGCGATGCCGAGAGGGTCTTCTCGTCGATCCCCAGCAAGAATCTGGTCAGCTGGAGCTCGCTCATTGCGGGATACAGCCGCCAGGGCGATTCCCAGCGAGTTTTCGAGCTCTTCACGAGGATGCAGTCGACGGAAGAAGGAATCAAACCCGATGCGATCACGTATCTCTCGGTGTTATCGGCGTGCTGCCGATCTGGGCACGTGGATCGAGCAAAGTTCTACTTGGAGGAGATGCGATCCAAGCACGGCATTGCTCCTGGTATCGAGCATTACACTTGCATGGTGAGATTGCTGGGGCAGGCCAACCTCTTGGAGGAGGCGAGAAAGGTGGTGGAGACAATGCCTGTGAAACCAGACATTGTGATTTGGATGGCGCTGCTGGAGTGTTGCAAGATGTGGAAGAATTTGCAAGTGGGACGGGTTGCGTTTGAGGGTGTTATGAGAATCGATGACAAGAACGCCACGGCTTATGTGCTCATGTCTAGTATTTACGAAGAGGTTCTATAGATTAAAAATGGGTGAGATTTTACACAACTTAAAGCAAGTAGTATTTGCTGCAAATAACATATATTGTTAATTGCGATATCTGCTAGTGCTGTAATTTTGGTAGTTGCTAGTGAAAGTACTTTCCTTGACATTATTCTGACCCTTCTTATATGATTTCCTCTGGATGAGGATCAAATTTATGCTCAAATAAATCCACCTTTTTAATTAGATTTTTGTTTATATGTTCCTTGTTAGCCAAGAAAAGGATTAAGCCCCTAGTATTGGAAACCCAGGTACTCTATACGCGTTAAGTATGCGTAGAAGTAATTAAATTACTATAAAGCCCTAATTCTTTTTACAATTGATAAATTTGGAAGATATAATTGTTACTTTTCCTTTCTTATGCAAAAAGGTCACTGTTCAAGTGATTTTTTTTTATTTGATAAAATTGCTCACCTTTTAGGTGGATAATCAGGAAGGAGAAATGATTATTTTGAAGTGTTTTTTTTTTAAAAATCGTTTTGAAGGGTTTTTTAATCATGAATCTAAGAAGAAGAGTATATTCTTTATGGGTACAGTTTGACTTTGCTATATTACACAAGCATGGTTTTTATGGATTGCACAGGTGGAGCATATTGTGAAGGTGGGACATGCCTTGAAATGTTTTGGGCCACACAAATGCTACATTAATGGACTCATCTAGGCCAATTGAGCTCAAACCAATGCAAAAAACATATCATATGGTAATAAAGTTTTGAGCTTCATTTTTGTATAAAAGTCTTATATAGGAAACACATAATGAAAAATTTTAATCCCTTGGTTTTGTGAACCTTGAAATATCAAAATGAGTCTGTTATCAGTTTGCTATTAATTTGTATTTTTTGATGTGATTTATGTAAAGGAACTTAATTTCTATTGTTTATGTAGTTTATAAAAAATTAATCTTTAGGGATCTCTTATGCAAGGAATCTAAAGTTTCTACAATGTCGTTTTGGATTTATGCATAAGAATTCATGGACTGCTAAAATAAGTCAATTATTCTGACTTTAAGAAGGCTGTCACCTTTAGGTGTTGTTATCTCTACATAATATAAATTGTGAGTGCATGGAATATGGAAATGAAATATAGAAAATATGCACATTTTTTAACTTAAAACTTTAGCTTATATACAAGAGTGAGTGATTTAGATTGAAATCAATTCAATGGCTACAAAAATCCTACTATACTAATTTTTTTACATATTAGCAAATTTCCACAATAAAAACTGTTTTTCAGGATTAGGGCCAAGTTCCATGAAACAACTCAAAGCGTTGTCACAACCATGGTAACAAGCAGTAATAAAAAACCACTTTAGATGACCAGCCACACCGATTGGAACATTATATGCAAATTTGGGTTCTTGTCCACCTTTGCCTTGATGATACGTTTCTTTTGCAAATCTAGAATCAAGTCCTCCTCCTGCTTGATCATCTCACAAACACGATCACACTTCTGGAAAGTTGCACAACCATGCGCAAGCAAAACAATTACCCAGTTGTGGTATTGTAATACTCCTTGCGCAGTGACAAGAGGTCGTTCACCATGACAATGTGGTCGTCCATGATCTTGACGAGCTCACGGATCTCTCCCAAGTTTACAACCGATTCCTCAAGCTTGATTCGCAAAACTCAGTCATAATGCAGGCCATCACCTCCATGAATCCAGTGCGGCGGTGGAGAAGCCGGTACTCCTCGCTGCTCGGGATCGTGTTATTGATTTGGTGCTTGACCTCCTCCTGGACGCTATCCAGTTAGATTGAGAGGATCTTGCAGTAGCGAGCGAATAAAGAAGTGGGCATTTCCTTGCGGAGTTCCACCATGACTTCCACCAAGAGCAGCAGCACGAGGCAATGATGATCATACTCCTCAGATTCTTTGTAGATTCCAGTGGTGGCAATGCTCCAGACGATGGATTTGAGGGTGCCATAACCTTCCCAGCTGCTTGACTCGAGGATGTCATCCACCAGGAAGTACACCCACAAATGCTTCCCTGCCAAAGAGGACTCTATCCCTCTCGCCATTGGGATGCATCAAACAAGTGAAGAGCATGACTCTTGACTGGACAATCTTCTTCTTGGCGCTCTCGTCAGTGATACCGAGCTTAGAGATGAGCCATTCATTGAGCTCTTGGCTGAGAGAAGAGGAATTCGGGTGGCAAGCAGAGGGGATGTTATTTGGAAGAAGAGGCAACTCAAAGCGAGGGACAAGCTTTGCTATGAGAGACTCCATTATACCTTAGAATTAGGCTTGTTGTTCCGGTTCTCCACATTCAATTGTAAGTTAAGATATGTGTTGCCCAGGTATAGAAATTTTCTTCATTTAATGAACCTTCTTATCATCGCTTTTGTGTCACACGGAGATGAATGAATGAATTTGTTCACAAATTTTCGCTGGACTAAACTTCATGGACCCTCTTGATGCCTCTATCTGAGTAATTATAAACTGTAGAGATGTTTAGTAGCCCATGTGAAAATTTTAATTGATTTGCTTTTGAAGTGGAGGAAAGGTTTAGGAATTATAAAGAACTTTGGGCAATTAAAGATGGATTGCATCATTCCTAGGAAACAGAGCAATATAAGTTTTTTGCCTTATAGCCCTTTAACTGATGTGAGAGTGGAAAAGCAAAGCCCTTGAAATGATCAAATGAATGAGGGACAGGAGTCTTTTGGCTACCATGTGTTGCCATTATTTTGAGATTTTGCAAAATGTCAAAGAATGAATATTATAAAAAAATTCATTTTATGAGGTCCAAGTGTATAGTTATGATGCCGTATACTAATATTATGCTTGTGGAAAGAGCAAAGAATTTTTGTTTTTTCTTTTAAAGAGATTAAACAAATAATGATAAGAAAAGAGAAATATAAACATTGAAAGCTAGTGCAAGCCATTTTACTTTATAAGGAAAGGCAATTTTAATTTCAACCCTTCAAAAAGTTCTTGAGCTAAAAAAAATGAAACCTTCAAATCAATGAGCACTTTCAAAAATTTTAATGGTTTGAAGTATGGTAAATATATGATTACATGTTGGAGACACATGCACAGTTTTTTTTTTTTAGTTGCATGCAAAAATATGATGCATACAATCACTTTTCAATTTTTATATAAATAATTCAAACATGATTATGTATATAATATTTATGTCATTGGATATGCATGGGACATGACACCTCATTCTGCCACTGAAGACTGATGATACATCATCCTAGATAACATGACATCACTTCAAATTTAGTTAGGGTTTTACATAAGTATACAACATAAATTTTACACAAGCAAGTATGTAATATTAATTTATATTATGTGAGATAAATATTCCACAAATCTCCTTTTCTTTTTACAATATCATGTAAAAATGAAATTCATGAGCAATTGATAGATCACTAAAATTGAGGTATTGAATGATCTCATCACAATATCACACATTACAATAGGTGTTTAGTTGGTGGTTTCTTGGTTATGGCCATTAATTTTTGTTCCTTCAGCAAGCATGTAAATGTTAATTTCTGTATAGATTAGCTATAAGTGTATATGCAGTTTTGTTCCTCTTATTGATTTTTAACAAACTTCATATGCAATCTTCCCAATCTGCACATTCCCACTTCTTACACATCAGTACTCATGCCCAATACAGATCCAATACTTAGTCTCCATGGCATACCTCACATGCTATGAAATCTTTGAAACATGGAGCAACATCTCCTTGGTGAGCATATCCAGCTAAAAGTGTTATCTAGGCCACAAGATCTTTCGATGGCATCGAGTCGAAAATCTATTGTGGCGAGACCACACTTCCAACAAGGCATGTCAATATAACCTGATTGCTCTCCAACCCACAGAAGCAAATAGCTCTTCATCCCAGTTGTCAGGCCCCAACACTGCTGCAAGCTTTGTGTTGCTTTGAGCTGCCTAGAAAACATCCACATATGCATTGGATGGTGGTCATGGCTTTGAGGCTGCCATAGCCTTCTTGAGGGTGTTGTTCACCATTGCCAGACTCTCATGGTTGGGATGCATCAAGCCCCAAACTGGATGATCTTTTTCTTAGTGCTCTCATTCTCTTTAGTTTTGTTTGTTTATCCAGTTAAGACCAAAATGTTTTGGAGAAACTTGACTTTATTTGACTTTCATTGACGTTTTGATCTCTGAGCTCAAAGTGGCCCCGGGTCATCTCAAGGTTTTAGAGTCACAGTATGCAGCTCACAATTGAGAAAACTACGCATTGCTCACGGAAATCAACCCAAACAATGAAACAAAGGAAGGAATGGATATTACCTTGAGCGTGGCGCCTTATCACTGATGACGAAGGGTCCGGCTTCATCACGCTTACTTATTAGGTTTTTCAAGAAGGCGGAATGAGAAACAACCGCGATGTTCTTCTCTTTGCGACACAGGAGCCTTGAAAACCAAGTAGATTGTTGATGTGAGAGAGAGAGAGAGAGAGAGAGAGAGAGAGAGAGAGAGATTTTACTTTACCATTGTAAGAAAGCCCGCCTTCTTCCTTCCAGGGAATCTTTCAATTCACGGATGTTGGGATGCCACAGCACGTCTTGGTCCTCTTTGATCTGTGCTGTACGATTATCAAACCTCCAGAATAAAAAGAAAGAAACAGATGATCCTCACACCTGAGTAAAATCAACCATTGGAAATTGGATCTTGCAGGTGCTGATTGGGCTCCTCTTGTTGCACTCATAAGGCGTCTGGCAAAGAGATTTAATACAGGAATTGGAAGAGAAAACACAAAATTAGAGACGTAAAGCTGGAACGTACAATGAGCTCCCTGCATAGCTCCAAGGCAATGAGAGGTGGATTGAAACAAGAAGAGGACGATGCAACACCATTCAATGACAGGAATGGTGGCTCTGTCTCTCCTCCAAACACTCCAACAGCCGTTTGCAATGCCCTTTAAATAAAATTGTATGAGCAATTCTGAAAGCCTACAGTGCAAAACACGTACCGTCTCAAGGGAGAAACCACAACCAGCTCGATGTCACGGATTAGGCCAGTCACTTCTACGTGCTTCCGAAGCTGCTCCACCTAGAAGATCAAGAAAGCATGGATCACATACAAAACTTTGATGTAAGCTACTTGTTTCCAGCCATTGGGTTTGAGGCTGGGGTCGAAGATGCGATGTGCCGCGTGAAATCCGGGCCCAGCATTGTGATCGGCCTCGGCATGGCGCACCTAAATTAAAAATATACACGAAGAAAGCGTGAGCTTGCCCCTGGCGAGATTACGTTACCAAGTGGATCAGCTTCAATGGCGCGGCAATGCTAGCCATCCAAACCCTAGAAAATGAAAGTGGTCTATGGAAATAACAAACTTTAAAAAATATATTTTAGCAAACAAGTTTAAGAATTCTAGTACAAGTAGATGTTTTACAGAACTAGAGGATGCAATCTTACCAAAGATTGTCCCTCGCTCTTCACCTAAACACCATCGCCTCCACGGATTCCTCCTCTCTCAGCCAAGAGCAGCTCGGCATCACCCACGAGAGTGCCAAGAAGAAGATCGTCGAGTCGGGAGTCATGTTCTTTGCATCCGAAAGGCAAGAGACTGGACGAGTGGCAATGGTGGACGACGTCCTCAGGAAGGCTATGGCGGCCTCAAATCCATGACCACCATCCAACGATCATCTCGTGCTGCTCTGCCAGGAAGTCATGGTGCAGCTCCGCAAGGAAATGCAAAGTTTTTTATTGCAAGATCCTCTCAAGCTTTCTGAGAAGGAGGTCAAGCACCAGATGAAGAACACCGGTCACGAGCAGTGCTTCTCTGCCGCCACAATGGATTCATGGGCTGGGGTGCGTTACAATAGGAAGAAGTGGTGTTACTACTTTATAATTTTCATTTTAGAACTAAAGACACTGTCAATCCATTCAAAATGCCAAGCTCCCCAGGTCAAGGCACAAAAACCATCACATAAACCACATCTGATTGTAAAAAGAAAATCCAGTGGTGGACATGTGCATGGCCAGGGCAACTCTCAGCCTTTTGCAAACGACACCAGCGTCCAAGCCGTATCGCTGAGCTTGGTTTGAAAGGTGGCCTTTAGAGCTCGATTCAAAACAACGTACTCCCCAACAGTGCTTGTCTGGAATTGGATAAATGGTCAGGATCGAGAAGTCGCGGAACTTGGCTTGCAAAGGAAAAGAAACTAAGCTTGCTATACCCAACAATTTCAAACTCGGGATAATTGCAAAGCTAGGAGAGATTTCGAAGAGAGAACGGAATCAAAATAGATACAAAGCTCCATTGCCGGGATTTGAACCCGGGTCGCCTGGGTGAAAGCCAGGTATCCTTACCGGACTAGACGACAATGGATCTACAATACTTTCTTGCTTTAGTAAGAGTTGAACCGGGGCTCCGTTTAAACCTCCGCCTCTTTCCTGCGTGGCTTGTGCTTATGGTCCTCATGGCAGAGATGGCATTGCGGCGGCAATCGATTGATTGGCGATGGAGCGTCTGGGCTAGATTCTAGATTGGATCGACAGGATTTCCCGTACAGTGCTGGGAATACTGTCCAAGCGCGAGTGTGTCCGGAGCTTTATGGGATTTTGCGAGCCGATTCTAGAGCAATTAGATGCTGGCCAGGACGGGGAATTGCCAGTGGCGCTGGCGACCACGCTGGTTAGCAGGACCGATTCGGTTCTAGAGGGGAGGCAACGAGGCAATCAAGGTGCTCCTGCATGTCATGCACACGGGTTTTCAGATCATCCCGAGCTGCTGGAGTTTTTCGTTCTGACGCTCTCCCTCGCGCTGACCAAAACCATGGAGGACCTGACCCAGAGTTTTTGGGATGGATCACTTTGCTAAACTGTAGGGATTGTCATAGCTTAAGCGGAGGCAGATGCAACACGCTAGATTCTACGTGTAAGTTTTTTTTTCTCCATCTTCTTCGGTTTGTTGACTTCGAGCTAGGTTACTGATGCCGAGAAATGCTCTCTTGACGTCTAGAAAAAGAGGTGCACATCTCTCGACATCTGGCTCTGATCGAGACTACTTACTTGCCTAGACAATCGGTGAACCTACGGAGGTTTCGCGACTGAGTTGATCTGCAAGACCACACAAACGATCTGATATTACATGGCTCTAGAAGTTCCACGAGCTTTGGCTCCCAGATCAGGGGCGTTTGCTCCATCAACATCTCTCCACCATTGTTGCAATCGAGAGAATTCTTCAAAGGCTGAAGGTTTGGGAGCAAACAGTGTAGTCCAAGAGAAAAAAAATTTGTATTAAAACTTTCAAGAGGAAAATCAAAGAAGGTTGCCTAAATCTTTTGTGGAAGATACACTGAGACCAAGTTGGCCTCTCTCCGACGATCCCCACAACCATTCTGGGGAATAGTTATGCTACCAGACAATTAAGACCACCCTAACACTTTTCTTAACTTTTAGATACAGATATATTACAGAAAGAAGAGATAGAAAATATAAATGTAAAAGAGAAAATATATAAAATACTAAGAGTTGATCCAATAACCATAATATGATATTATACACATAAAAATCAGCTTTTAGAAAATTATTAATGTCTACTTATTTTATATTTGGAAGGAAATTAAAATACTATGTATTTGTAACACATTTTAACAACACCACATGAACATGCAATAATATGGTTAGAAAATCCACTATAAACAATAGAATAAATATAAAAATTTGCTAACAAAAATACTATATTGATTTAGAGAAACTACCAGATAATATAATAGATGTTAAAAATAAAAATATATAAATATATAAAATATAAAATATAAAATGTAAATTTAATTACCCAATCCCTCTAATGCAACAAACAAAAATCTTAGAGCCTATCAAAGATATTTCAAAACAAGAAAAGGATGCTTATGTTACAAGATAAAACAAAAAAATTTAGAGTTCAATGAATATTTAAGAATAATAGGAGAGCAATATTAAACTATAATAAGATCCATACTAACAAATGGAAAAATGTTTTATAAATAAAAACAAAAAGATATAAACACAAATACATTTAATGAAAAATTATCAAATTTATGACAATCAAATGTAGATATACAAATAATTCCTGATCCATATGGAGCAGCAGCATATTCTTTATCATATATTGCATGTATTGAAATAGAAATAACAAAGACATTTTCAACTATATTTAAAGAATGCCAAAAATAAAGAATAGATGTATTTAACAAAGTTTAGTTATTAGGAAATAGCTTCATACTTGGTAAAGAAATGCTAATTCAACAAGCATTTTTCTAATATTGTCAATCCCATTTCATCACATGTTTAGAACTGTGAAGTTTATTGATACCAACCACAAAAACAATGAACAAAATGTAAAAAAATGAAACATGATTAGCAGTACTAGGACTAACTAAAAAATACATGCAAACATTAGAAGAATTAGAACACTTAACATTAATAGAGATAAGAGCTGAATATATAATTGAAAAAGAAATAACAACACAAAAAAAAACTATAATAAGATTTATTAAATTTATTAAAGAAAAAAATAAACATATAAACATGTTTATGGAGAAAACATAAATGCATATGAAGTAAATATAGAACAAATAGATGAAAAATAATACAAATACATATATAAAAAAGCAACAAAAAAAGAATAAATTTCATGGGAGAACCCAGAACAAGAAGAAAATAAAATATTAAAATAGATGAAATATCAATGGTAAGTATAGAAATGCTACAATATATAAATAGAAGATGTGAACATATGGAATAGATTTTGGTGGGATGGATTGTACTTATACAGGTTATTTTTATCAATTAAATCTTACATTTAAAGCACCAATTTATGCAACAAAAATATATAGACCTGAAAATGATGTTTCCATACATTTGCAACTAATGAAAAAGTAAGAGAACATAACACAACACATACAAAGTATAGATATAATTACAGAAGCACAAGACAACCATGGAAATTCTTGTTCTACACACTTCAGGTTACTAGATGACACAAGAAAAACATAAGGATTACATAAAATATTACATTTTAAAAGGAAAATAGCAATTGAAATAACACAAAATATAGCAAAAGAAGATGGATTAGTAAATGGAGCAGTTGGAGTATTACAAGATGTAACCCAAATTGAAGAAAACAAATAATATGGATAGAACTCCAAAATATAAAAATAGGTGAAAAACAAGAGCTAAAAAAAATATAATACTAAAATAATGAAAAAAAAACTAGACACCAATAAAAAAACAAGAATAATAAATATTACTAAACTGTTTTATGTTATAAGTAAAACCTCCAGGACAAGCATATACAACATTATCAAGAGCACAAACACTAAAAGGTATACATTTATATAGACCAATTGAACATAAACATATTAAAATCAATAAAGATGTAGCTAAAGAAATAATACAAATGACAATAGAAGCACCATAGCAAATTGATTTAATAGATTTACAAGAAGAAAAAAACAGCTAACCAAACTTTTATACAAGTTTTAAACACAATATTGATTACCACATATCCAGAAGATATAAAGAATGATTCACAATTATTAACATCAGATATAATATGTATGCAAGAAGTAAAAACACAAAAACATGAGGATTTATATTTTAATAAATATAAATCATATATACATGAACAGCCCCCACATATAGCAATATTGCATACAAATAACTATAAATCAGAAAAACTAGAACATTTAAAAACAGAAACAATGGCAATGTCATATACATCACTAGAAAAAAATAAAAAACAATTACAGATAATAAATTTACATAGAAAACCTGGAATTAATATACAAATGTTCACAAAAAATATAAAAATATTTTTAAAAATAGATAATAAAAAACCAATATTAATTAAAGGATGTGAGTGCTTGGAATATGGAAAGGGAATACAGAAATGTGCATATTAATTAGCCCAAAAACCCTAACTTATATATAAGAGCGAGTGGTCCAGATTAAAACCAATCCGACGGCTACCAAAATCCCACTACGCTAATATTAATATACGGCATCGTAACCGTACACTTGGCTCTTACATCATCCCCTCCTCTCGGGATAATGGAAGACCATCAGGGTTCTCTTGAAGATGGGCCGGGATCCGGAGGAACATCAGGAGGAGGCATCGGTGGATCTGTAGGTGGTATTAACTCCTCCTGATCCCTTTGTACAAAGTGTTTTAGCCGTTGCACATGCACAATCTCTGGAGGATCGGCCTGCTAAACGTCATGCCGAACCTCATAAACTTGTGGTCCAATTTGTCGCAACACTCGATACGGTCCTTTCCATTGCACAAGAAGCCCCTTAGATAAACCACGTACCGTAAGATGGGGAAAACGGACTAACACCAAATCATCCACTTTGTACTCCGCAGGTGGACGATGATGGGAGTTGTAGTGCCGTTGTTGTCCCACTTGTACGCGGCCTAAGTGTTCGGCAGACTCTGCTCGGACAAGTGGAAGAATGCTCGTCAAATACTGATCCCAAATATTGGATCATGACTATATAGGAGTTTATATGGTGAAGCACCAACAGAACTCTACACCCCTGTAACATATGCATA